GGACTGGGCTCTGATGTTGCAGAACCAGCCAGTGCTTTATGCTACAGCACCGCACCAAGACCCTGTTTGTCATGATGGAGAGATCTTGAAATGTTCTTTTTCAAGTTGAATGTGACACCATTCTTTTGTTATTCCCAACAGAGTAGACCATATGATTATCAGTTTCAAAATGGCTACTACCAGTCTATTTCAATTCACTATTGCCTTGCGACTCGATTGTCAAGCATTCCATTTCATTTTTAATAACTTCAAATTTTCCTAGATTCATACTTTGTACATTCTGTGTTCTGTTTCTTCTCATTTTGAGCCATGCCATATCAGCAAATGAAGAGTCCAGAAGCTTTATTCATATTTATCATTATGGTCTACTCTTTTTTGGAAGTCAGCTTTGGGAGTCAGCTCTTTCCCAGTTGTATTTGGGGTACCTTTGAAGTGGAGGGGCTGGTCTTCCAGCGCTGTATCAGACAGTGTTCTGCTATCCATCTCTGGCTAGTTTCTTTAGAAGTAAATTGCCAGATCTTTCTTCCCAGTCTCTTAGTCTGGTAGCTCTGCTGAAACCTGTCCTCCATGGGTGAGTTTGCTGGGATTTGATATACTGATGGCACAGCTTCCTCTGTCACAACAACATAAGCCCCTACTGTATGACAGATTGATAGATGACAGGTGGAAACACTTAATGTTATATGATAGGTGCTTCAAAAATTTGTGGGGAAAGGGAATTAAAAGATAATAGAGAAAAAAAAATAGTGGAATTTTTCCATGAACTTTTGAAAGCCTCCTACCCCCCAGTATTATTTTCAGCAAGGTAAAATCATTGAGACAGGAAACTTGAACAGAGCCAGCTGGCCCAGTGTCCTTTCCAGTGTCTGAGTTGCCTCATTTTCATTCTCTGCTTACAAAAAGAGGAGTGGTGACCATATAGTCTCAGTCTGCTTCACAGCTCTGCTGGGTCAAAACAAGCAAGGCAAAGGGAGAGGAATTGAAGAAAGTGGGTTGATAATGAAAGGTGTGGTCCAGATTGCATTCCCTGTTTCAGGTCATTCTAGATTCTCTAGTTGGCCTGCCTCCTGGGTCTTACCCACAAGTCTAACAGCAGGGATGTGTTTAGAATATTTATGTTCAGCATTATGCTTGGCAAAGAAACGGACACAGATGGTTGTGATAGAGTTTCTGCTTAGAAGCAGCTTATAGTCCAGTTGGGTTGTTGTTGTTGTTAAGTGCTGTTGAGTCAGTTCTGACCCATAGCGACCCTTTATAGAGTTTTCGAGGATTGGCTGGTGCTCTCGGAACCATTGACTTTGTGGTCCAAACTGACTGCAGCCTAACACATTAACCCACAGCGCTGTACCAGTTGGGTAGACGAGAATAAAACACACAGGGTGACCATAGGCTGCATGAAATTAAGGGTGAAGTTTTATGGTATCAACTATGTAAGCCATAGGACCAAGAAGCAAGATTAATCACTGAGAGGTGAGGTAGTTAGGAAGTTTCCCTGGAATGTGTTCAGATTGGATATTTATTGGGCATCCAGGGTGTATAGTGCTTTGTGGTGATGCTGGGAATAAGAAGTGAGTAAGTGACCATGTGGCACTGTGGGTTAATGTGCCAGACTACATAGCCGTTTGAACTGCAGGGTCAAGTGGTTCAAGCTTACCAGCTGCTCCTTGGAAACCCTGTATAGGGTTGCTATGGATTGGAATTGACTCAACGGCATTTAACAACAACAAAGTGACTGTCTCTACTCTGAGAAGCTCCTAGTTCAGGGGAAACAAACATCTGTTCCTTCGTACCAATGCAGGTATGTACAGAGTGCTGTGGAGCCAGGAAGTGGGATATTGCAGTTAAGTGTGAGTGCATTGGGAAGTAGATTGCCAATTTGGGCAATTTGGGGACATTTGGGCTAGAAGGGTGAGGAGAAGTTACTTAGGCAGAGGGGGTGATTGAATTAGAGGAGGCCAGAGAAGCAGCATGGTATGGGGGCAAACGTATAGTCTTTGTGATGGTACCCAAGCTCCCTTATACTAAATAAGTTGAAGTATAGTGAGGGCTCACCACCGGGTGGGCACACAGTAGGCCCTCAACACATGTTAGTGCCTTTATCTAGTCCTTGAAGAAATGAGGTCCTTTGTAGGAGAGCCGTGTGTGCTGTACTAAGTGGACTTGATCCTGTAGGTAGTAGGAGTCAGAGATTTGGGATTTTACTTCTGGCTTTTCCTACTTTTCCTAGCCTAAAAAAGTTATCAACATTTTCTCCTAATAGAACTCACTGTTAATCTGGGGGGTACCTAACAAACCATTGTACACCTGAGTATCCAGACTGATTGGGACTCTTCACTAAGGAGGGGGAAGGCTAAGGATTAAAGAGGAGTTTCTATGGTTAGCACTTAGATATAGTACTTGTAGATATTGTGTATGTTGTATTTTCTGTTACTGCTTTTTTCCCCTTTCATAATTCTGGATTCCTACATGTCGGAGGTGGGCTAAATGGAGCAGTATCCCACCTTCTTTCAGGACTCACTATAGTGTAGGTAGCAGGAATCAGTGAGAATCCCCAAGGAGAAGCTGACTCTTCGGGGACAGAGTCAGGCTTCATAGTGTCCCTTTTCTCTCCCCAGAGCTTTTGCTTGCAGTCATCTTCGGCTGTTCTGTTTTTTTTGATTGAAGGAAACTCTTTTACTCCAGTGTTCCTCAAAATCTGTTCTTGGAACTGCCTGCATCAGAACTATCTAGGGATTGAGTTAAAAGGGCAGATTTCTAGACTTAACCCCAGCCTTCCTCAAGCAGGATCTTAGGGAAGAGGCAGTAGAATTCTGCATTTGTATGCTTGTTAAAAATTGAGACCCTTTAGTTTTTCATCCAGCTTTCTTCAACAAATGTTCTTTACATGGCGTAGTGAGTTATACATTGGGCTGCTAACTGTAAGATCAGCAGTTCAAACCTATCAGCTGCTCCATGGGAGAAAGATGAGCCTGTATGTTTCTATAAAGATTTACAGTCTTGGAAACCCTAGAGAACAGTTCTCTTGCCCTATAGGGTTGCTGTGAGTTGGACTTGACTCAATGACAATGGTTTTAAGCATGCTTAGCACAGTACTAGAGTCCTAGTGTAGCACTGTAGGATAAGCACTGTGCTGCAAGGTTGGTTTGAACTGCAAGGTTGGCAGTTCAAACCTACCAGACGCTCCTTGAAAACCCTGCACAGGGTCGCTATGAGTCAGAACCAACTTGATGGCATTTAACAACAACAACAACAAAAACACTGTACAGACACCAGAGGTACCATATAAGGTAGACAGGTGTGCCTCTGTATTTGTGGAGCTTATGTTCAAAGAGAATCCACATTTTCGTTCAGAGAGTGTGAGCAGAGTGCTGGAATAAACTGGACAGGTAAGGCAAAGGCCGGTTGGGTGGTTTAGACAGCTTGGCAAGGGCTTATGACATGATGCAGCAAGAAATAAGAGACTTCTGGGTCAGCTGCAGGCTGTGTAGAGTAGAAAGCATGTGGACTGTGGGGTCGGCCAGTGTGACCCTTACATACCACTGGTGTGGCTTTAGACAAGTTGGCTAACATCTTTGAGCCATAAATTCTCATCTATACCTGAGGTTAAATGTAATGCCTGCCTCATAGGTAGTGTTGGTAATTAAATAGCATAATGAAAGCAAAGTGTTTACATTATATATTGTACTTTTGGTACATAAACCAAACCAAACTCATTGCCATCAAGCTGGTTCTAACTCATAGTTACCCTATGAGTTTCCGAGACTAAATTTTTATCAGAGCAGAAAGCCTCATCTTTCTCCCATGGAGAGGTTAATACATTTGAACTGCCAACCTTGCAGGTAGCAACCCATTGCCTAGCCTGTAGCATCACCAGGGTTCCTTACATGGCATATGTTGTTGTTGAGTGCTCTTGAGTTAGTTCCAAGTCAAAACAGACCTGTTTAGGGTTTCCAAGGAACAGCTGGTGGGTTTGAAACACCGGCCTTGCAGTTAGCAGTCCAGTGCTTATCCTATAGCGCCACATCAGAACTCCTGCTTGGTACATGTTGTCAAGTGATGTGGAGATGGTACTGACTTATAATGACCCTCTGTAGGGTTTCTGAGGAGCTGCTGGTGGGCTTGAATTGCAGACCTTGTGGTTTGGAGCCCAGTGCTTATCCTACAGTGCCACACCAGGACTTGGTATATGGTGTTGTGAAGTGCCATCGAGTCAGTTCCGACTCATGGCGACCCTGTATAGGGTTTCTGAGGAGTGGCTGGTGAGCTTGAACTGCCGACCTTTGGTTCAAACCGACATTGCAGTCTAGCGCATTATCCTGCAATGCCACACCAGGACTCCTATGTCATTGTGGTGTGCTGTGGAGTCGGTTCCGACTCATAGCGACCCTGTACAGGGTTTCCGAGGCTGTAAATCTTTACATGAATAGAAAGCCTCATATTTCTCCCGTGGAACAGCTGGCAGTTTCGAACTGCTGACCTGAAGGTTCACAACCCAATTCTTAACCACTATACTACCAGAGCTCCTTAGGAATCCTATAGTAAGTATGAAATTAAAAACATGAAGTGTTGTTATCCCCAGTTTTGCAGATGAGGAAATTCAGGAGTAGAAGGCTGACTTGTAGGTGGTTGACAGTGGAGCCTGAATTTGAACTTTGGTTCCTTTCCAGAACCATCCCTTTGAACCTCCACTGGATTCCCACAGGAATGCTTCCTTCTTGGTAGGGTTGCTCTGAGGCTTAATGAGGAAATGTGTTAAAGTGCCTAGCTCATGCTTAATAATGCTAGTTTTTGTTCTCCTTTTCTAAGAATGCCAGACAGCTTTAAGGGGTTTCGGGAACCGCTACTCAACTCTTACAGAAATAGTACAAGATACTTTTGTATCTGTCCTAGAAAACTGCCTGTTGGTTCTCAGTGGGCTCCCTTCTGAGCTATTTACCCTTAGTGGGACTTGGGGTAGAATCCTTGCAGCTGTGGATTTCTTTCTCTTCCGCTAGGGTGAAGGCATGCCGCCCCCTGGGAAAGTGTCCCGAAAGGATAACCTGGGCCTGCAGTGTGAGTGGGGGTCCTGCTCCTTTGTGTGCTCGGCCATGGAGGCATTCTGTGAGCACGTCACTCAGCACCTGCAGCAACACCTGCAGCAGCACCTGCACAGCTCTCAAGAGGACGAGGAGGAGGAGGATGACGACCCCCTGGGTAAGGGAGCAGGACTGGAGTGTCCCAGAGTGAGACAGCCACCTGGGGTAATAGAAGTGGTTTGTTTTCTTAATGGTGGGTATTTTGTCTACATTATGGATAGAACATTGTAGACATGTAGAAAACTCAATCAGTTAGAATATAAGGAATGAATCTGCCATATTGCCATGAAGAGACAATTACTAACAATTGTTAAGTGCCATCAAGTTGGTTCTAACTTATGATTTCCCCATATAGGGTTTCCGAGGAGCGTCTGGTGGGTTTGCACTGCTGACCTTGTGGTTAGCAATCCGGTGCTTATTCTTCAGTGCCATACCAGGACTCTAAATGCTAACAATAGCAAGCATTACTTTTGACCTCCTTCTACATGTGTATACATTATTGTTGTTGTTAGGTGCCATCCAGTCAGTTCCAACTCAAAACAATCCTCTGTACAATAGCATAAAACACTGTATGGTCCTGTGCCATCCTCACACTTGTTACTATGTGAGTTCATTGTTGCCTCCACTGTGTTAATCCATATTGTTGAAGGTATTCTTCTTTCTTGTTGACCCTCTACTTTACCAAGAATGATGTCCTTTTCCAGAGACTGGTCCCTCCTGATAGCATATCCCAAAGTACGTAAGCTGAAGTCTTGCCATCCTTGCTTCTAAGAAGTATTTTTGCTGTACTTCTTCCAAGACAAATTTGTTTGTGTATATAAACTCAAATAAATAATATATACATTTTTAAACACAAGAAAGGATCATTTTGTACAAGTTGTTGGCAGCCTGGTAGTGTTTATCATATTAAAAAAAGAACAAAAAAAACACTTTTACCCTAGTTAGGAATACATTTTACCTTTTAAATAAATGTACAATCATGACCTTGTATACAAAAGTTGCCCCCCCCAAAAATGTGAAGCAATACTTACTACATGCTTTCTGAAATGATCTATTTGTTTTTATTTTTTTAAAAGTGGTTTGCAATTTACCAAATGATTTCCCACTCACTGATGGATCACAGTGGGTTGAAAAACTAATGCTCTCTCAGAAATATAAAAGCAGCTCTCCTTTCTTCAGCCCTCAGTTCTTTTTCAAGTCTAGTGAATAGGAATTATAACAGTTTCAAAAGTCAAATTGTAATTCATACATAAACATATTTTGTACACACACATATTTATATATTTAAAATACTTTCAAAACAGGTGCAGTCTTATAAAACATTGATAACGTTTGGACAGGACATAGATTAGAATAGACCTTCCTCTGGAACACTGGAAACTCTGAGCTAGAGGTTGTGCATGCCAGCCATACCTGCTAACTCAAGAGTTTCTGCCCCTTTGCACACACTAGACCACACTTCACCTAGTTTATAACTTCTCTCATCCATCTGATCTTAATAATACAGGGGCAGTTTGTGACTTCAGTGAGCATTCTTTTTGACCCCTCTCTGCATGTGTGTGTATATGAGCAAATTACCTTTTGTTTAATACTTTTATAGTTCCATATACTGTCTCCCCACCCCCACCCCATTTCATAGCACTGGAGACGGTTTTATATTTACAGATGTGATTATTTGATTACTCTCTCTCCCTGACTGAAAGCTATGTGAGAGCAAGAAATTGAACTCTTTCTGTTTGTTGTTATATCCCCAGTTCATGGCACGTCATTAAATACTGGCATTCACTGAATGAAGTCCTGTAGTATGGGCAGAGTCAGGCCTCCTCACTCCCTACAAGTGTTACAGGTGGAAGGAAAGCTGAACCTCGGAAAGCAACCCCTCTCTCTCTTAACCTTTTTTGCAGAGGAAGAATTCTCCTGCTTGTGGCAGGAATGTGGCTTTTGTTCTCTGGACAGTTCTGCTGACCTCATCCGCCATGTCTACTTCCACTGTTACCATACCAAACTAAAACAGTGGGGGCTGCAGGCCTTGCAAAGCCAGGCTGACCTCAGCCCTTGCATCCTGGACTTCCAGAGCCGGAATGTGATCCCTGACATCCCTGACCACTTCCTGTGTCTGTGGGAACACTGCGAGGTCAGCTGGCAGTACCAGTAGTAGGGTTGGAAGTTGGGGATCTTAGCTCAGGATGCCTAGACCCTTTCAGGGATGCCTTTTATTCCCAAGATTCCTCTAGTAACTCACTATTTCTGTGTAATCCCCTCCCTCAAACATTCCCATCCCCACCAAGTTAATTGTGGGAGAAAGCCAACAAGCCCCTTTGGGCACATAGGGACGAGGCCCTCCAGCTACCCTCAGTCCTTACCCCAAGTTGCCCTGGCACAGAGCTCCTTCGACAACCCTGAGTGGTTCTATCGGCATGTGGAAGCGCACAGCCTGTGCTGTGAATACCAAGCCGTTGGCAAGGACAACCATGTGGTGCTGTGTGGCTGGAAAGGTAGGGCCACTCTTAACTGCTAGCCCCTGAAAGGAACCCCGGGGGTTGCCTAGGGGCTGGGGCAGCTAGGGATGGGACCAGTTCTGAAGGGCAAAGTTGGCGGCTGGCTGGGGAGATTTGCGGGGACCAAAACCGCCCCTGGGAGTTTGTAGCTGAAGGCTGACTGGGCCTTCCTTCCCAGAGTGTACCAGCACCTTCAAGGACCGCTGTAAGCTTCGAGAGCACCTCCGCAGCCATACCCAGGAGAAGGTGGTGGCCTGCCCCACGTGTGGAGGCATGTTTGCCAACAACACAAAATTCTTAGATCACATTCGGCGTCAGACTTCATTGGATCGTAAGTAATCAGAGAAGAAGGGAGTAAGTAAGTACAGGCAGTTCTGCTTGGGGTGAGGGTTAGTAACATATTCCCTGGGGAGGTGGCCATTGAAGGTACCTTTCAGGCTCAGCCATCCCACCCACATCCTCTCTGCTGATGAACATTCATTGAATCTTTCGTTCAGTGCCTATCTACTGTGTGCTGTATTATCTCAGTTAATCCTTACAACAGTCCCATGAGGGAAGTTTCTTGTCCCCATTTTTTCAGATGAGGAAACTGAGGCTCAGAGAGGTTAAGTCACTTACCTGAGATCACACAGCTAGTAAGTGCCAAAGTGGAGAAATAACTCAGGTTCTTGCCTCTGAGTCCCATGCCTTTTCCATGATAATCTGTCCATCCATAGCTCTCTGACCTCCCTTTTTCTCTCTGGGGTTCCCTTCTACCTGGGGTGGTGGCCCTCTCCCTGGTGTCTCCCCTGCCCCCCCTCAGCTCCTCTTTCTCCCGCCTGCCCTACCTCAGAGCAACGCTTTCAGTGCTCCCACTGTTCCAAGAGGTTTGCCACAGAACGGCTGTTGAGAGACCACATGCGCAACCATGGTGAGGGTCCTGCCGCTCCTCCCTCCCCCCTTCCCCCCCCCAGCAGCTCCTCAAGCACAGCCCCTCTAGCACAGCCCCTCTCTGCTCTGCAGTGAATCACTATAAGTGCTCTCTCTGTGACATGACCTGCCCGCTGCCCTCCTCCCTCCGCAACCACATGCGCTTTCGCCACAGTGAGGACCGGCCCTTTAAATGTGACTACTGTGACTACAGGTAAGGGAAGCCAGGTCAGCAAACATAGAGCCTGTGGTCCAAGGTCCCGCTCATGTCCTCCAACCCCTCGTGTCCTCTCCTGGCAGCTGCAAGAACCTGATTGACCTCTGGAAGCACCTAGACACACATAGTAAGGAGCCAGCCTACAGGTGTGACTTCGAGAACTGCAGCTTCAGTGCCAGATCCCTCTGCTCTGTTAAGTCCCATTTCCGCAAAGTCCATGAAGTGAGTGGGGCTGGGATGGAGGGAAGGGCTACAAGTGTCAGGAGAGCCCACCAGGAAGAGCTGGCCTCACTTCTCTGTCTGTTCCCACCAGGGGGACTCAGAGCCAAGGTACAAATGCCATGTGTGTGACAAATGTTTCACTCGGGGCAACAATCTCACCGTGCACCTTCGCAAGAAGCATCAGTTCAAGTGGCCTTCAGGGCACCCCCGTTTTCGGTATGTGTCTCAGCCCTTCCCCCCAAAATTCCTGTACAACTTTCACCCACACTTTTTTTAGCAGGTCAGAAACTTTAACTCTCATGGTGTTTTTATGTCCACCGTCTCCATTAGACTCAATTCTAAGAATCTGGGTAGAACAAAGAAGATTCTTCTACATTTTAATGATCTTTCTTTCCTGCCTTTTCTTCTGCATATTAAATGAGAGCCATTTTTTGTTTTCAACTGTTACCACTCAGAATTCCAGGAGCTCGTCCATCCCTCACCTTTTAACCTTCCCTTACTAGTCTCCAGGCCATTTCAGCAGCCCTGCCTATGTTTGCTGCCCTTTATGCTCCTCCCAGGTACAAGGAGCATGAAGATGGCTATATGCGGCTGCAGCTGGTTCGCTATGAGAGTGTGGAACTGACGCAGCAACTGCTACGGCAGCCCCAGCAGGGATCGGGTCTGGGAGCATCGCTGGATGACAGTAGCCTGCAGGGCATCCTTCTAGAAACAGTGCCAGGGGAGCCGGGCCCTAAGGAGGAAGAGGCTGAAGAGGGTGGTGAAGGGATGGCCCTCCCAGCCCCTCAAGAAACCCCCAGTCCTGTCATCCACATGGTGAATCAGACCAGTGACCAAGGTCAGCAAGAGATTGTGTACTATGTGCTGTCTGATGCCCCAGGAGAACCTCCCTCTCCCACTGAGCTAGCTTCAGGGAACAGCTGAGGAACCCAAGGTTCAGGTGATGTGAAGGCTTCTGAGCCTGACCATTCCTACCTCAGATCCTGAGGTCTGAGCCAGTCTGGTGGCAGCAGCCCTTGTGGGCAGCACTTATGAATGGATTCCTCTTAAGAGTGGTGCACAGAGCAATGTGCTTCTACTCTGGACCAGGCTGGAATCATTCTCCTAATTAAGAGCTCCTCTTTGCCATGGCTTGTGGAGATCCTAAGGAGAACGTCATGGATGTGTGTGCTCGTGGTTAGGGGGAAGATTATCAGGCTTACCCATAAATCCCCCACACATGCTGGACAGTGATTAGTCCGTTAGTGAATCTACATTCATTCCCATCTCTGGGGGTCCTTAGGCTCAGGGGTGACATAACTGTTCTCTACAAGGACCATTTCCTGAAACCAGCCAGGACATTGTGAACCAGGCAGCCATTTCCCTCTTGAGGGTTCTTTCAGCAACCCCAGGGAGTTTCATGGTTATCCTCAGGGATGAGATTGAAGGTACTGAGTATGTGTGTAACAGTTTTTTTGTAATAATAATAATAAAAGAAGCACTTGAGTGGGTACTCATTTTCTCTTCCTATGTTTGGTGACATTTAGCTAGGCAATGAGGAACTACAGCTTCCCAGAAGTACAGCTAAGTAATTAGGCTTGTTCCCTTTTCAGTGACTAGATGTTTTTGGTTAGGTTTTGCACTGTTTTGATCCCCTGCCTCTCTTCTATTGTGACTTCTTGCCTTCTTAGAGTTTCTGCTGTTGCTATGGAGGGCATTTTACCACATGTGGGCAGTAGCAGTAGAATGGACAAGAATGGGCTCAACCCAGAAGATAGAGCAGCTGACCATGGCCACACCCTTTGAGTTTCAAAGTGATGGACAGGAACCTGATTAGAACGCAGTACCTCCAGGGTCAGGGTTCTTTACCCGTGGGCTTGAGAAGGAAGCTGGGTGGAGAGTGGGTGAAAGATGAAAGAAAAGCCTTTTCCTTTATCTATCTGATGGCCTACTTGGGGCGGAGAAGGGACTGTACTTGATTGGTCAAGGGACCAGGAGTGAGTGGTGAAATGAGTGCAGGCATCCAGGGAGTGCTCTAAGCAGGACAGTTTTAGTTCATGTTTCTTTTCCTCCATCTCACCATCTTTCTCTCTCGTTCTAATTTTAGTTATTTTTTAGTTGAGAACATACCACCATCTCTTGAAGGGGCTCTTGTAGATACAACTTTGTTAAGTGCTGTCAAGTTGGTTCTGACTCATAGCAACCCTGTATAGGCTGCTGGGTTTGAACCACCGACTTTGCAATTAGCAGTCCAGTGTTTATCCTACAGCACCATATCAGGATTCCCTAATTCCAACCTTAAAGCCCTCATAATTTCTTGCCTGAATTCCTGTAGCAGCTCCCTAACTTGTCTATGCTTACAGTCTAGTCTTATCACTCTTCTGATTGGTACTCCGTGTCATTAACAGAATTCTAAAACACAAATCTGCTTATGTGACCCAGACTGTCTTCCCAGTTTGGTCTCTGTATGGCCTACTACCCTCAGTACTGTAGACTGAAAAGTAATACCTCTTTAGGTTTGTCTAAGGAGAGACATGGCAAATAGCCTCCTTTCAGTGATCAGCTCTAGTCACTTCCTAGATGAAGCCTTTCCTGAGCACTTTCCCAGGTAACATTGTTTAATCCTGTTTTGAGCTTCCTAACTATACCATGATGGCTTCTATCACTACGCCTAATTGAGTCTTTCCTCCTTTATGTCCCTCAAAGGCAGGTCCTGGGTTTTCTTCATCTTTGTATTCTTAGCATCTGTCCTAGTGGATTATGGTGTTGTTAAGTGCCATTGAGATAGTTCCGACTCATAGTGACCCTGCATAAGGTTTCTGAGGAGCGACTGGTGAGCTTGAACCTCATACTTTGCGGTTCAAACCGACCTTGCAGTCCAGTGCATTAACCCGCAGTGCCATACCAGGAAATGACTGATAGAATTAATGAAAGAGATTTTTTTCTCTCTAACTGCAATAGGTAAATGCTCTTTTTATAAAAGGTCCTTTATTAATTATTGTTGTTAAGTGCTGTCGAGTCAGTTCTGACCCATAGCGACCCTGTACAGGGTTTCCGAGGCTATAAATCTTTATGGGAGCAGAAAGTCTCTTCTTTCTAAAGGCCCAGAAATCTTTTTGGCAGCTTCCTCCCTACTAAGATGACTGAGAGGATTTTATTTCCCCTTCTAAAGTGTCAGGGACCTTAAGAATGTACACAAGGAGCTGAGAATTGGCTGGAAAGAAATAAAAAGGTCTTACGTTTTGGGTGTTTCAAGCACCTCGAGAGCTAATGAAGAAATAGATGCTTTCCTCGAGAAAATGTACATTCAGACGCATGGTGTTCTAACTTGGTTCCTGGATTACCTGAGTACCTTATATCCTACCCCTTACTACCAGCCTATATATTTGATGGATAAAATGAACCAATTCCTTGAAAGACAAAATATCAAAGCTCACACAAGGAGAAATTAAATCTATGTCAGATTGAATCAGTAACATACCAGAAAAAGCACCAGTCCCACTTGGGTTCATTGATGAATTTTCTCAAACATCTAAGAGAGAAATGATACCAACTATCTGTAATTTTTTGCAAAAAATAGAAGCTGAGGGAGCGCTTCTTATTCTAAGGTTTCTGAAGCTTTTTAAATCTTTGTGGGAGCAGAAAACCTCATCTATCTCCCAAGGAGCAACGGGTGGGCTTGAACTGCCAATGTGGTTCATAAGACAGTGCTTATCCTATGGAGCCACTGCATTCCCACTGTAGAGTATTGTTAACGTGCCATCGAGTTTACCTAATGGGTTTTTGAGGAGTGGCTGGTAAATTTGAACCGCCCACCTTAAGGTTCAAACTGACCTTGCGGTCCAGTGCTTATCCTACAGCACCAAATTATAAAAGCGTCTTAGCTAATAACCAAACACCTTGAGGGAATGAATCACTGGGTCTGAGGGTTCAAGACTATAGTCTCAGTACATCAAGGTTAGTTCAGTCCGCAAAGAAAATGTTCTGCATCCCAGTCTCCCCTACCCTCATTCACAGCAAAGACTGAAGAAAATCAAAGGCGCTTGAAAACCATTACTCCAAAGGATTAATTGACCATGCAAACCTCACCCTCCTTGACTCTGGGACCAGAAGAACTAGATGTTCCTGAAAAGGATCACATTAAAGTCCTGGATAGAGTGTGAGAAAAATGTGAAATAAAACTCAAAATCAATAAATATCAGGCTCACTGGTAGGCTAGAGATAGGTGGACCCTCCAAGATTAGGAATCTTAGTACAAACCCTTCTAGCCTGTGCTGAACTTACCCCCATGGCTCAACTTTCAGCCAAACAATAGATCTGTAAGGTGAACAATAACATCAGGGAGGTACAGATTTCTCAGAACAATCAGGGATTCCAGAGCAAAAGGGGGGCCACATGTGCACAGGGACAAAGTTCAGAAGATAGGAAGGACAAGTGAAGTAGGAAACGGGAAGTGAGATGAGTGCTGTTTCACTGTGGGGATTGCAATCAATGACATGAAATGTGTATGAATTGAATGGAAAATGGATTTGTTCAGTAAACTCACCAAAATCACAATAAGAAAGGTTTTTTAGATATGTAGAAAGAATCACAGTACAAGCAAGTGGAATTCCAGATATGCAGTATTCAATGTTTAAAAATTTATGGAATCCATCACATGAATAAGCTGTGTGTGTGTGTGTGGTAGTGCTGTTGGTTCCAACTATATTAGTAAACACAAAAAGCTTTTGACAAAGTCCACCCATTGGTGATAACGAACCATCAAACCAGGAAGATGGTCATTTTCTTAACTTAAAGAACATCTACAAAAACCCTGCAATTAAATTCATACTTGTTAAGTGTCATTGTGTTGGTTCCTACTCACAGCAGCCCTATGCACAAAAGAACAAAACACTGTGTGGTCCTGCGCCATCCTCACAATTGTTGACGCTAGAGTCCATTGTTGCTGCCACTGTATTAATCCATCGTGGCGATCTTTATCTTTTTCACTGACCCTCCACTATTACCAAGCATGATCTCCTTGTCCAGGGACTGGTCCTTCCTGATAACAGTCTGAAGTATGAGACAAAGTGTCATCATCCTGGCTTCTAAGGAGCATTCCTTAGAATGCTGTACATCTGGCTGTACTTCCAGAACAGATTGTTCTGCATTCGATGATACTTTAAATTTTCTTCTACAGCACTATAATTCAAACACATTAATTTTTCTATAGTCTTCCACGGTCATACTTCTTTGTGAGAAACTGGATGCCTTCTCCCTAAGATTCGGACTAAGGCAAGGATATCCTTTTTTACCACTCCAGTTCAACATTGTCCTGAAAGTTCTAGCTAGTACCATAAGATGGAAAACAAGAAATAAAACTGTCTTTGTTTGCAGATGACATGATTGTGTATGTAGAGACTATTAAAGAATCGACAAAAAACAATTTATTAAGTGATTATAGAAAGACTATCCCACCCTGAACATGCCTGATCTCATAAACTAAGCAGGATTGGGCCTGCTTAGTACTTGGATAGGACACCACCTGGGGATACGGCTACTGTAGGCTTAACCTCACATGTCTGTCAGTTTGTCTTAACTAGTGGTTTGCATGTTGCTGTGATGCTGGAAGCTACGCCACTGGTGTTTCCAATACCAGCAGGGTCACCACCCATGATGGTTAGGTTTCAGCGAAGAACAGACCTGTTAGGTGCCATCGAGTTGGTACTGGCTCATAGTGACTCTATGCAAACAGAATAAAACATTGGTTGGTCCTGGGCTACCTCACAATTGTTGCTATGCCTGAGCTCTTTGCTGCTGCCATTGTGCC